AGCACCTTTGGGACAATCATGACCTAGATGACCGAGAATCCCCATAGACATTCTGCTATGAGTGAGTTGTGTCTTTTTGAACACTTAAGCATAAGACATTCATCCCAAACCTTTTCCCCAATTTCTCCTGCAGCTCCCTGACATTCTAATCCAGATGAATGATTTTTGGAAAAATATGGAAAATGTTCAGGCCTCAGGCAAGAGAGAATGGTGACCATACTGAAGCAGCAGTATGTCTGTCAAACTGACATCTATTCATGTATAAAGCTTAAAATTACTCACCAGTTCATATATCTATAACCCATTTTATGTGAAATGGATATTCAGTTAACAGCCGCCATAATATATGTATGTGTGTGTGTGTGTGTATGTGTGTATATATATATATATATATATATAGAGAGAGAGAGAGAGAGAGAGAGAGAGAGAGAGAGAGAGAGAGAGAGAGAGAGAGAGATAAAACACCTCTGTATTTAACATTTAAAATTCCATGGCAATTTCACACTCAACAATGCCTGATGGTACAAATTTCATGATTCAATCTGATTGAATATGGTCCATGCTTTTCAAAATGTGTTGCGCGATAGATTTAAATGAACTCATTAGCACTTAATGCAGGAAAGCTCTTTCTAAATGCTAATGTTTGGCTGCCGTTGGCTTGTTAATTAATTTGAAGATTGTGTAATTATCAGAGCTGTCGATTAGCATATGTCTAGCCAGCTTTTATTATTATTATTATTATTATTATTATTGCTAGATGATATTGGTTGGCATGTAAGTATAAGAAATTAAATTATATCCGTAATGGATTAAGGGTAACAAACTGACGGTTGAGGTCTTAAGGTACGTAATCTCTTCTGCTTGCCAACTTTACAGTTATTTTCCCTTCTCTCAAAATTATATGTCAAATTGGGCAAAAGTAGCAGCTCTCGGATATTTTTATCCCTTTGCACTCTTGCAAATCATTCTTTCTTAGCATAATCAAATGATATTCAAGCTTCACTTTGCTGCCAGCATTTCCTGTGGAAAGAAACTGAAATTACGACTCATTTGTTTAATAGACCCATTCCATCCAATTACAAATCAATATTCTTGCTTGTACCCTTCATCTGCCTCAACAAATTCCAACAGACAATGCTAAAGATGCTTTTGCAAGCTTATATGGGCAGAGAAATAAAGGTAAAGATTTCCCCAGATTCTGGCGGCAATACTCATCTCCATTTCTTAGCCAAGAGAGCCAGCATTGTCCAAAGATGCTTCCGTGGTCATATGGCCAGCATGACTATATGCTGAGGTGCATGGAATGCTGTAATTTCCCCACTGAAGTGCTACCTATTTATCTACTCACATTTGCATGCTTTAGAACTGCTAGATGGGCAGGAGCTGAGGCAAGTAACAGGCGCTCACTGCATCGCGCAGTGCTCAGGTCTCGAATCTGGGTTGTCAAGCTCAGTGTCTTTAACTGCTGAGTCACTGTGCCCTTGAAGCAGGGAAATACGCAATAATTATCTGCAGATCTCAACTGAGAGACATGGCAATCCTTAAGTTTCTGGTCCCTTAGAGATGAAACATTAGGGCAACAACTGGCAAAATATGAGAAACAAGACAAAGAACAGTGGCTGAATAGGAGCTAAACAGAGCGATATAAAAATTGCGTGTTCAGGCTTTCTCTTTTCATTTACAATAATAACCTTGTAGCTTGCAAATGAGCAATAGATCTGGTGTACGCAGGACGGGAAAATTTTATGTTACTTATGAAATTCCCTCCCTGCACAAGTGTGAGAGTTATTGATTGATTGATTGAATATCAATATTGCTTCCATAACGTAACAGTGAGTACACTAGTAGTAAGGTATTTAAGAACAAAGTCCTCATACTTCGTTTTATCAAAATATTTATTGTTTAGACATATACAGTACATATACACAAGTTTAACGTTCTCCAATCTGGTTATCTTCTGTTTGTGCTGAGCTGTAGTTCCTAAAATCCACACCTAATGGGATTAATATGGATAGTATAGCAATAGCAATAGCACTTACACTTATATACCGCTTCACAGTGCCTTTCAGCCCTTTCTAAGCGATTTACAGAGTCAGCATATTGGCAATGGAGCGTTTACTGGCCGGATGCCCTTCCTGACACCTATACGGAGTTTGCAGCAGATATTTTCTCTTTGCACCCTGATTTAGAAATGTGTCGCTGCCTAGGATTGATCTCAACAGTCCAAGTGGGAGGCAAGCATCTTTACCTCTTGGCCACAGGGCCAGTGATAGATAGTTATAGATCAGTGTTTCCCAAACTTTTGACATATGTGTACCCCTTCTATAATTTTCGTAACGCTGAGTACCCCTCATAAAAAACATATGGTACCCCTGGGAGTACGCGTACCACACTTTGGGAAACACTTAGATAACACTGCAATTCTCCGGCGTTTAAACAGCTCCGCGGCTCAACGTCAACTGTTAATGTTCCCACAGTTTAAAAATGGCCGAACCCGAGCTGCACGAAGGATGCGCAGAAGTTCCCGCCATAATGAGTTGCGATACGATGTACGATGGCCCCAGTTCCTGTGTAAAAACTGCGATATGCGCCTATTTCTTTCCTTGTTCTGTGGGCGCAGCTAAGCACAGTACAGTGGATATTCCCACGTGATCCCCACCAAACTCCGGTGCAATGCGTACCCCCACCAAACTCTTCCCGTACCCCTGGGGGTACGCGTACCACACTTTGGGAAACACTGTTATAGTTCTCTATTTACAACCACATTTCAGACTGGAATGTCAGGCACTAAGCAATTTGGTTGTAAAGAAAGATGTTACGTGCACTTAGCAACTGAAATCTTAGTGATCTCTCTTACCTTCATTAGGCAAATTTTACCAGTGGTTAAGAGGCACGGTAGCTCAGCCTAATGATGCTGGAGATGGTCTTTGGTGGTTCAAGTCCTTAGCACTGTGTGGCGAGAGGAGCTCCCATCACTCGCCTCAGCTTCTGCTCACCTAGCAAGTCGAAAACATGCAAGTAGATAAATAGATACCATTTTGGTGGGGAGATGAAAAAATCCTATCTATAACTATCTATCACTGGCCCTTTGGCCAAGAGGTAAAGACGCTTGCCTCCCACTTGGACTTTTGAGATCAATCCTAGGCAGCGAAGGGCATCCGGCCAGTAAATGCTCCATTGCATTCAGTCCCCTTGACTCCATCCTGATAAAAGGGATTATAGGATTATAAAAAGAAGAAAAAGTATCTGGACCTATGAGAGGTCCATTTTAATAATTGCACCAACAGCAATTCCAGTTGCTTGAAGCTACCAATCTAGTTAATTCTATGGACTTAAGAGATATGGTCACAATTAAAACAAAACGGAAAAAAATATGTAAAAAACCTTTGCAGTTATCAACTGCATCTGGACCATACCAGTACCAATACCAACTATATCTGGACCATTACAAACAATATACAGGGAAGAATTCAGGAATTTGTTCCAACTCTTTTACCAACGACGACCCTAAGAAACATCTGCATTTTCTTCCAAATAATGAAAGTTCGCACATCTTTTCCTGCAGGGGCTATGCATATCGTGTATATTTTTGTGTGTGGCTGGTTATTGTCAAGATGGCTGTAACAGTGTTGTCTTCATCCGTTTCTTCTCTACTAGGGTTATCCAGAGAATGATTTTTTTAAAAAAACCCACAGATGGTACACATGGCCTTTTTATGTGTTCTGCATTCAATGCACATTTTAAAAAAATGGGCATAGCTTTGAACACACCGGTGCAGCTGCCATCTTGCCTTTTTAAAATCATTCCTTACCGGTTCCCCTATACCCGTGATGACGAACCTGTGGCACGTGTGCACAAGTGGCACGCAAAGCCATTTCTGCAGGCGAGCCATCGCCCTAGATGAGCTCTACCACACATGCGCGTGCACTTCCCGCCAGCCAACTGATTTTTGGAACTTTGCCGCGCATGCAGGAGATGTGCATGCCCATGGCACCCCGTCCCTCCCAGGAGTCTCCACGCGGCCCATTTTGGATGCCAGATAAGTACAGGGCTGGCATGGAAGCTCTGGGTGAAAAATGGGCCTACCGGAAGTCCGGAAACGGGCTGTTTCCAGCCTCCAGAGGACCAGGGGAGACTGTTTTTGCCCTCCTGCGCTTTTGGCACCTGAGGAAAAAAAAGGTTAGCCATCACTGCCCTATACCTGTTGTGACTCCGACTCCTGAGCCTGTCCTCATGGAGGAAGAGGACTCAGAAGGTGAGGGGGAGGAACTGACAAGGCCTCCCTCTCCAGGACTCTCCTCTCTGGCAATGCCTCAGGTTCCATCTGAAGGCCAGAAGGAACAGCCTGGGATGGGCCAGAAGGAAGGCATTTCGGAGCACCCATTGATAGAGAGTGATAATGATGAATCCTGGCCTGATCCCAGGCAGCGTCGGAGGGAGAAGTCAGCAAAGGAAGAGGCGTGGGAGGGCCAGGGATTGAGTTGAGTCACTGAACCACGCTCCACAAGGGATAAAAGGGGGCGTGATTGCTCGGCAGGCTTTGTGACAGACAAAAGTTTAAACTCTAAAGAGTCACATCGTGAATCCTGCACTTTGGCTCAGATATATTTTGGACTAAACTCTTATGGATAATTTGTCGCTCTGGAAACGGACTGAGAGAAGGCCTCGCCTGCTTTTTGGGAGTACTAATTGGACTTTTACAGTTAGCTGCCAGAACTCTCGTCTGCCAAGAATTCTGGTCTGTTTATACAATAAATTATTGGTGGGCGTGTTTGATATTGCATTTGTCTGTGTGAGGACGGGGGACAGAAGAATACCGTATGCTTGTGTCACATATGTCTGTGCCCCTGTCTTGGGAAGCACTGAGCAGCCTCTGTGTTGTTCCTCTGGATCACATGGCCCAGAAGGAGGAAGATGTCTATAGTTGCCCATCCCATAGGAATGAATTCATGAATTCCTTGAACTTAAAAAAAGAAAAAAAGAAGACCATTCAACTGGCATCGTATCAAAATATATTTTATTCTGGACCTCTTTCGGATCTGATTCAAATTACACTTGTCAGAGCAATACAATGCGAAGGGAAACCTGCAACAGAAAAAAAATGTGCCTGGAAAAAGGATTAAGAAAGAGAATTTTAGGGGTGGGTGGGAGGGGAAAGAAAATCAGTGTGATGTGGAACCAAAGTACATCATAAAAGGTGTAATTAACATGGGTCCAGGACAGCATAGAACATCTATATCAGTCTTCTTTAGACAATAAATCATGAAAACTGAATGATAAAGTCTTTCTGAACAAGTAGAAAAGCAAAGGAAAAAAAAAACCTCTCACATGGGCTGGTTTTACACTGGTATAAGTTTGTAATTTAACTGGATATATATATATATCTTTGAAGAAATGGCGTAGACATTTTTTTTTATCCAGTGCTATAGAGATAGGATCACAAAGTAGACCTCCCCCCCAATGATTTGTAACTCCAGATTCAACCTTTTTTTTTTTTTTTACAACTACGTCAAAGTCAGGAGAGAAGGAGAAAGCGTCGGCAGGAAGAAAGGGGAAAAAAAAAACAAAACCCAAAAACTGAGACCACTTTTGTGTTCTAGATCACTGACCTGTTCACCGCAGCCTGTCGAGAGACAAGATTGCAAAGCATACTTGGAGAAGCAGTTAACAAAACAGAAGGTTTTTCCTGAATTTATCCACAAATGGGAAGAAGGGAGGTGGAGAAAAAAAAAGAGGGGGGGGGAAAGAAGAAGAAGAAGAAAGCAGCAGCCCAGGAGATGATTACAAATCATGCTTTTGTTTGATAGACCTCAACATACGGAGACCTAACAGAGGCTTTGTTGTAAGGGTTGCTGGACAAGTCTTACAGCATTGACATCTGTGGCTGTGATTTATTTATGAGTTTGACAATGAGGCATCTGTCTGTTGTCTGGGGAAATACCGGAAAAGCTGTAGGTTTTCCTCTGAAGAGTAGGTTCAAAGCAGTTCATCTCAAAAAAAAAAAAAAAAAAACCTTTGCTGCTGTCTGAATCTAGAGTTTTCTTTAGGTGTCTTCCTCCTCCCTCTGTTCAACTTCTGGACATAAATCTTGACATACAGAAAGCCAACGGAACGAATGCTTGGAAGGAGGCTATTTGAGAGAAGCAGGACAGCGGTTCGGTCGGCTGACGCGAGGTGGTCAAAGAGTCAAAAGGCAATACAGAATAAAATCAACACGGTGACGTGGGCTCTTTACGGTGCGCGCTGGTCCTTCAGCATGCTTGCACATCAATCCTTTTAGACATAAAACTATGAAGATTCGGCCACTGCTCATGTGCCACAATGCTGCCCTCCTTTTGGGAAAATTCAGAATCCTTTCCTTTTGCTAATCATTTTCTACTTTTCAAATCCACTCCCCATTTTCACTGGATATTCCAGGTGCCCTTGCTTAGTCACTGCTTCTTATGCAACAAATTTGAGAGCTTCTCCTGCAGCTAAAATTGGAAAAGGGCGTCTAAATATCCAAATGCACTTTCCCCTCCTTTGAAATTACATATATTTCACGGAAAGCCTGTAGCTTTAAGCTTATCTCTCTTCCCCCCCCACTTTAAAAACCATACCTGACCAATCACCATTTTGCGATGTTGCAGTTTTGCTGCTTTCTGAAAACCAATCGATGCAGCATAAAAATATGGAAAGTAGTTTCTATATTTTTTTACTCCTGAACTTAGGAAATACAGAGTTGCTGTTTTTTTTAACACATTAACGCTGCAAATATATATATATATATATATATATATATATCAGTAAATAAAATTCAAATTGGTATAAACTTTTGGTCTTTTTCAATCTTATTTAGCTTACTATCAAAATCAACACAGTCTTCAATTTGTTTTATCTGGATGCAAGGTATTTTACTTTCACCCTACTTCCCAAACCACAGACTGATTTGGTACTAAGTTTCCAGAAAGAGGCTCAGAGCTACAGGCTCATTGTAAATTTAAAATACTTTAACAACCGATCAACAAAGTAATGCTTTCAAAGATAACATTAAGAACCCTAAATTATAGCCTTCCTTCAGCTGGTGGCCGCAAGGTTTATTAGAACTACAACTGCCCACTTTTTACTAGATGACTGCAAATTGTATGAAGTTATTCCCACGATTTGGTAATCTGGGAACTAGGTTGGGAAGGATGCCCTAGTTTTAACCCAATAACCTAGGAAAATAACCAAACATTTTGTCATAACCACATCCTAATGGTCACTATCTTATTTGACCATAGGGGAAGTGGATTTTCATTCAATTTTAACACATCACCCTTTTGCCGCCCAAAACATCTTAGCAGTTTGTTCTAAGTTGTTAACAGCTGTTCCCAATTTTCCCCCCACGATTAACTTATCCAAAATAAGTTATCCAAAAGTTAAATGCCAAGCTACTTTAAAACAATCCAACTAACTTCAACTACTGTAGTAATTGGTAAATATTACCTTCAAAACATTTTCTGGCTGTGTCATTTCAAGAATGAACATTCATTTTATGCAGGCTGGTAAAACAGCCATGAAGCCTATTTCAATCTGTATTTCAGATTTTTCTCCATGGCACGCCCATGCATAAATCAGCTTTCTTAGTCTTGGCAAAATTCAATTTCTAGTCATGGTGGATTGGGAATTCAGGGAGATGTTAATCAATGATCTTAAGGGCATCAGATTGGGGAAGCCAGACCTAGACTTTTAACTAGTGTCAGGATGGAATCAAAGCATGGGAAAGTTATATTATTAAAGCTGTGTCGCTTAAGTCTTTTAACTGGAAGAACTCTTAATAGGGGGAAACTACGTTGCATGAAGAGGGATTGGACCACTTCGTCTTCACTAGTTCAATCAAGACTTCTGCTTTTAGAACCTGCACGGGCACACAAGTCAAAAACAATGGTGGTAAAGTGAATGACAAATTAAAGAATAGCCAAGGAACACTGTGATATGTCTCTCAACAGTGCCTGCTAATGTTGAAAATAAAATACAAGGTGGAGAGGCCTTACACGTAGTTGTATCCTGGAATGAGGAATGGCAGTTTTGGGGGGATTTTCCATTCTGTTTATTCTGCCTTGGGCTGTTTGAATTGCTCTTTTTATTGTGCTCACCTTTCATACCACATTCTCAAAGTTTTGACTTACTGAAAAGGAGAAGGAAGTCGATTCACTATTGGGGCAGCACTGTGGCACATTGATGAAAAGATAGCAGTCATCAGTTGGGAGAGCTCCAGGCTTTCAGTTCAATGCCTATCACATAAACAGCCACAATACAGCTGGCCCTTTTCCCTACCACAATACATGTTGTTGTTGTTTTTTTAAAGCTGTGCTGCTAACTCCTCTCCTCACTTTAACCTCCCCTCCCCCAAATGACCCATGCTATGGGATGATAAAGGACAGGGAAGCTGCAGTGCGGAGGGAGAGAAGAAAGATGGACAGATCTGATGAAAGAAAAAAAAGAAAAATAATCTCCAAAATACCTACTATCCTATTTCCTATAGAATACTCTTTTTAACAGCAATGGTTTATTATGGCATGAAACACAGAAAGCCTGGGAGGGGTCTGCAGGCCATGGGAATGAAGTTACTTTTTGCCAGGTGTGGGACTTGGGAATTTGGAATGTGGCTTGTGGAACTCAAGAGCAAGACTGAACATCTGGCCCACAAAAAAAATAACAGTCTTCCTTGAATTTTGTGTTAAAAGCAAAATTATGTAGGAAAGGAGGAGGGGAATCAGCCCAGGATTTGGTTGATAACACAGCTGTGATAATGAAGCTTCAATAAAGTCTACATGCTATATCATACTTAAATGGCTAGAATCAAAACAAACCAACCAACCAAAAGAACAAGAGCTAAACAGTTGCAAAACCAGAAATATGAACGTTGCTGTGGAATCTTGCAGCTGTGTCAAAAGACTTCAAACACCATCTCGTTTTTATACACTTTTTTTTTTGAAGGAAGCTGAAACATCAGTTCAAGAGCTTGTATGAAAAACGAACAGACTGTCCATATCAAAATACAAAAGTACTATCAAGAATCACCTCTGACTTTTTTTTTTAAAAGATTTAAGTTCAGTGCAATTGACATTTGTGTTTGCTAAAGGAAAAGAAAATGCTGTTTAAATATACTCAAAATAAAAATCCCCCCAAAACACATTTGTGTCTATTCCTGGGAGCACAGTTTAAAATTATTGCACAGATTTTTTTTTTTACATATTTTAAACTTTTAAAAAATTATTTTAATAATGACAGAGGTCAGCCACAGTCCTGGACCTCCAGCGGTAAAAAGCAAGGTTTTCAAGTGCCAGATACTCAACAGGTTAAGTTTCTTACATACTATAATTTACAGGGAAAATTATTCTTAACCTCCTAAGCCTATTCTCAAACCTTATAGACAATTAATACAGAGGTATCATTGGATGGAACGACTGTCCTTATGGGTGTAAATCTTCCTTGTCTTCACTTGCAATCTGTGTGTTACTTTATAAATCCCCCATTAAGAATAACCATGATGGTGTATTATAAATCAGCTAAAAATGGTTGTGGTTATCTTACCAAGTAGATAAACTTGACTTACTTCAAGATCTGCTTTCTGGGCTTGTACACAGAGGTGGCAGAAGTCAATGCTGAAAGAATGTACTTCATAAAGACGGGGGAGGGGGGCAGGATGCAGTCCTCCGATTTAGCAAAAGCCGCAATGGAATATAGAAGATTGAGCCAAGTCTTACAAAGAAAATGGAGTTACTGCAGAAGCAGCGTTTTCTCTCTTAGAACTTCGATCTTAAGATGGATCTTAAACTGGGTCAATGAAGCTTTGGTGTGCATTTCCTTGCCTGATGTTAAAAAGAAAGGAGACGCACACAAAACAAAAAAACAAAACATAACAACCCTCATTGTAAGGAGGGAAAAGGAGAATTCAATACGGTGGCTAATTTGCAAATAAAAGAGGGAATCAGTTTATATCTTCAAAGGAAGAGGTCCAAGCTTTGGGTTTATATGCTGAGCTGCCTACTGAAAGAAGTAGCAAAAATGGAAAAGATTAGAAATTTAGTATTTCTGCACTATGTTGCTGTGACTGAAAAGGAGATCCAAAATGCTTCGGCAAAGCAAATGAGTACAAAGCATTCCTTTAGGTAGAAAGCAGGTGAAACCTTAACGAACCCTGAACACCTCCTCTTTGTTTAGGAAGTTGGAAGCTGCATAAGACACGGAGCATCAAACAAGAATGGAACAGGTCAGCCTTTACACTGAACTTTCTCACACACACACAAGTCCCACTGTTGCTATCGTTTGTGATCAGACACAAGCAGAGAGTTAAAGTGAAGGAAAAGCAAGATTTGATATAAGAAACACAGACATTCCAAAGTAGTGATCGTATTTTCTCCCGAAAAACATTTAGCAGCTTATACTTAAATCTAAGTTTGAAGGGTGGTGTGATGAAGAGAAAGGAGACAAGCACATAGAAAAAATAATAATAATAGTAATAATAATAATGGGGGAGCAACAGGGAAAAATTAGTGCAATACTATTTTCTAGTATGGAAGCTCAATCATTGGGTAGTTAAAAGAAGCATGAAGCGAAGAGTTTTTGCCAGGGGATGTTTCTCCTTTCCTTTGACTTAAAAAAAAATATGAGGAGCCATTCACTGGGAACTTCCACCAGCCCAGTGGAACTTAATCCCCTCCTGAAAATATTGCTCAGTTCTTCCTCTTCTATGTCTTTTGTGGAGAATTTCCAGTGAGTTATCTTGAAGAGAGTAAACAACTTGCCTTACTTCAGAAAAATCTTTAGTAAAGAGGTTTCAAATGTGTTTTTGTACGAAGAGGAAAAAAGAAATAAGAAATAAGCGCTGTCCCCAAAGGCTGAAATACTTTCAAACTGGGAATTTGGTTATACTGAATAAAACAAGGGAAAATTTGTATAGAGGTTGTAGCAGAAACATTTGCCCAAACTGAGAATGAGACAAATCCTTTCTCTCTCTCCATTGGTTCGATTTTCACAGCGCGACTCAAATGGACTTATGATCATGGGTTTGAAGAAAAAGAGGCTCCAATTCTTCTGTTTTGCTTAAACTTGGAATGTACGGACCACAGGTGGGTTGGGATTACCTGAGCCTACCTCCCATCAAGGCCTATCGTCTCCTTCCCCAAGATCTGAACACACAAAAGGCTCACCACCCATACCATCAAGCTCTCCAAGCCAATGATACGATTCCCTACTGTGGGCATCCTATTTCAAGCCTCTCAGTCTTCGTTTTATGTGTGTCTTCTTGCCATTTTGTACACTCTTTAGATTTGGCAGAAATGTCTCATGATGGGGGATTGTTGCTTTTTTTGGAACTGTCGTCACCAATAAAATGAATAAGTGCAGCATCTGAGTAGCCTGTAAACTATTGGATCTGACGAAAAGATAAAGGAATGTTGATCCTCATTTGTCAGGATGGGTTTTGTTCTCTTCCCCCTCATCTAAACTGGAAGAAGATCTATGTAACACTTACCAAATGTCTATAAAGTTAAGGAAGAATGGAAAGAACTGCTGAAAAGGATTTTCCTCCCTCCAATTCTTAGTGAAAAGATCCACCACAACCTAGAAAAGAATTTCACATCCTGGCTACAAGCATCAATAAAACTTAAGAGCACAACGGGAAGAAGCAATGAACCAATCAACTGTTTGTTTTCCCTATACATGAAAAAAAAAAAAACCCTGCTTATTACCTATTGGGGTGGTGGGGAGGGATCAGAAAGAAGGGAAAACAAAAGTTTCAAAAAGGGCAAAAATAAAGAAAAGAGGAGAAAGAAGATAGGAAAAAGAATAAGCCATACATAAGCTTTCCTCAATCTGATACTCTCAAAGGGCTGCTTGCATAATTCAGTTCTCTTTCTCTCTTGTCCTGGTTTTTTTTTTTTTAATTTCCTCCCACTTCCAAATTTTTTTGGGGGGGAGGGGCAGGGGGGCTGCAGAAAATTCCAGCACTTGGTGAACAGGCTTCACAAGCTGTGACGTCACTCTGTCATCTTCTTCAGGGTATAATCGTTTGCTTTTTTTTAAAAAAAAAGAAAATGTACAGTACATGTATTTAATTATTTCAGGTTTGGCTGTAGTGGACTGGCCATGGTTCAGTTGGGACAATAGCAGTACATGGGTCGTGGGGACAGTCATTTTGGCTATGTACACATTCATAGTCGGTCCATGGCTTCCAACTAGTAGCGCTATTTCCGTAGATCTAGTACGCAAACCTGCAAAGAGGGAGGAAGGGGGGGAAAAAAGGGAAGGGGAGGGGAAAGGGGTTTCAGAAAATTTATTTATGCATTTGATGTGGACACCAACAATAAAGGAACGGCCATCCTACAATACAGAAAATGTGCACTATTCTTATTACACTCATTACAAATATGAGTGGTGCAGGGGCGACATGCTCTGAAGTCTGCCACGGGTTCACTTCACGGGCATGCGCACCGCAGGCACTAAGAAGTCTTTTCTGAGTCTGCAAAGGTTAAGTGGAACAGCGAGAGCGATTTAGTAGAACAGCTGTGCCACGCGATTTAGATTGGCTAGAAAGCAAGATTTCCTGCATTCTAGCGAATATAAATTGCAGAACTTTTAAAAAACTTTTTAAAGCATTTTTTTACTACCGGTTCCGGCGAAACGGTAGTGTTTTTTTTACTACCGGTTTGGGCGAACTGGCCTAAACTGGTAGCATTTCACCCCTGGAGTGATCCTTGATGCTCTCTGGATCTTGGTTGTTTCCTTGCAGACATTTCATTACCCAAACTAGGTAACCGCATCAGTGCTAATAGGGAGTGGGATTTGCTCTGTTTATATTCTAATGGTGTCTTGCCCTGTCAGTGTTGGTGGAGATAGTTCCAACACTCAAGAGTGTGTTTTTATAGTGGCAGATCTGTAATATCTTTGTAATATCCTCACCACTGAATTATGCGTATTGCCCAGGGGTGAAATGCTCTGAAGTCTGCTATTGGTTTGCTTCGCTACATGGTGCGCTGAAAAAGGAGGATTGAGAAGCCTCTTCTTAGTCTGCAAAGATAAGTAGAACAGCGCTGGGGGGGGGGGGGCGGGACAGCTGTGCCGCGCAATTTAGATTTGCTAGAAAGCAGGATTTCCTGCTTTCTAGCGAATATAAATTGCGCGGCACAGCTGATCGTCAGAAAAACCGGTTCGCCCAAACTGGTTGCATTTTTTACTACCGGTTCGGGTGAACCGGTCCAAACCAGTAGCATTTCAACCCTGGTACTGCCGTATTTATTGCCTTTACAGCACAAGGCAAAATCTTTTTCATGTCTTTTAATGATATTTTGATACTGATTTTTTAAAGAGGAATTTTGGTTCTTTGGGATGTATTCAATGAAGGGAATTTGTAAATCCTATTGCAGGTAGTCCTTGACTTACGACCACAATTGATCCCAAAATTTATGTTGCTGAGCAAGACATTTTGTTAAGTTAGTTTTGCCCCATTTTATGACCTTTCTTGCCAGGTTGTTAAGTGAATCACTGCATCTGATAACTTAGCAACCCACTGATTTTGCATGTCAGAAAGTTGCAGAAACTGATCACATGAACTTGGGATAACAGCAACGGTCATAAGTATGAACCAGTTGCCAAGCATCTGAATTTTGATCACATGATCATGGGGCCTCTACAAAGGTCGTAAGTGTGAAAAATGGTCATAAGTCACTTTTTTCAGTGCCGTTGTAACTTTGAAAGGTCACTGAATGAACTGTTGTTAAGTCAAGGATTACCTGTATTGGTTCTTTTAAGAAACATCCTGAAGGTATATGACAGGGGATTTTTCTTGAGTGAGGGATTTTGCGAAGACGTTTCCTTCAACGTTTCTCACCTCTTCAAAACTCTTGGGTTTGCCTCGCTTAGGATTATTGGCTTGATTGCTTAATATTTCATTTTTATTTTAAATATATACTAAATAAATTGTAGGAGAAAAATTCTACAAACCCCAAGCACATCCTACACTTTAAAGAAATAAAGCAGGACCTAAGCATATCCAGCCTATTTGGATGCTGGCGTCTGATAAAAGGAACCGAGTATAAGATCTCATTTTGCTTTACTTACTGAACCATCTGAAGCACTCGCTCCAACTTTGTCTCCTGCTGCATTCCAGCAAACCTCAAAAATGCCTCCTGTCCCCCGATAACTATGCACCAGAGCACCCGTCTAGAAAAACAATATAGCCAAGAGGTTGGGATAGAACACAATGACATTAAAGTATTAAAAGTATTATAAGCCTCAACTGATTATCTTTCCTGGCAGGTACGCATTTCCTGGCACGAATGAACATATGTATCGGGAGAGATTGGAGGAACTGAATATGTACAGCCCAGAGGACAGAAGGGAAAGGGACCATATGATTGAAACCTTTAAATATATGTAAATAATACTTCCAGAAGTATTTTCAATATTAAGCAAAAATCAAGAACACGAGGGGCATAACCACAAGAGGGAAGTTCAAAAATAATGTTAGAAAGTATTAATTCACAGAAAGAGTAGTGGAACCAACTATTTGGAACCAACTGCGGAGATAGTGGGCCAATCATCAGTTAACTTGAGTTTTAACGTCCTTAGGATAAACATATTTCCGTCACCCAACAAAAAATTTAAAAAGTAAAACTAAAATAAAAAAAAACCCTCAAATGTAGTCAAAGCAATATGCAAATAATTAATAGCCCAGCTGTTCTTTCTGCAGCAGGCATTAGGAAAATACAATGCTGGATAAACCTGTGAGATGTTCTCAAATTTTGTTCCAAAGCAGGAAAAGTGCTTGTTGTATTTGTCAATACAATTAGGAATAGCAACAGCACTTAAACTTATATATCACTAGCTGGATGCCCATGCTTTGCTACGAAACTATGTGATTGAGCGTGATAAATTGACACTTAAAGCCTGAAACTTAATGTAGAATGTGTAACTCCGTAGCATCAGAGCATGTTAATATAAGGCAACTGGCAGTTGGAACAGAGGGGGAGGGGGAGGGGGAGTAGAATGTCCCTGCCCCCAGGCCGGATGAGTCACGTGCTGGCCACGCCCACGCCCGGTTTAGTGAAGGGGTAGCATCAAAGCATTTTAATATAGAGCAACTGGCAGTTGGAACAGAGGTCTTTTCAGGTGGGGCGGGGGAGTAGAACATCTAACTCCTTAGCATCAGAGCGTGTGAATATAATACTGTATATGAAACACTAATGATCTGATGGTCATTTCAAAAAATCCTTTCTTAGTGAGCACCTAGAAGCCAAGAGGAACATACTGCCAAATTTCAAATTTGTAGGCTTTACCATTCTGGAGATTTCGTAATGAGTGAGTGGTAATTGGCTTTTATATATATAGATTCCATACTGCTTTACAACATTCTCTGGGCAGTTTACAACCTCAGCAGATTGCTTCGAACAATCTGGGACCTCATTTTACTGACCTCGGAAGTTGTTAAAGTCAACCCTGAGCCTGGTCAGGATAGAACTCCAGGCTATGGGCAGAATTTGCCCCCAAAACTGCACTCTAACCATTGGGCTACCAGGACTCCTTTCCTGGTTGCCCAGAAAAAAGGCACACCTTCTGTAAGAACCACTGATACGTATAGCAAATACTAAAAGCCAGCTCTGAAAAACTTTTGCTAGAGCTGAATAAATGGCAGAGAAAGTACAAAATATTTCTCACATTATTTACAGATGGCTTTGGTTTTTCTGGTGGGCGGTGAGAAGAGATGAAAATTACAGTAGTCAACTTTAAATGTTCAGAATATGAGAAAAAGACAGGGACTGCCTTTATTGCCTAATCTGTAAAATGATCTGCACTGCAAATCGCTTTTCTTTAATGGTAAGGAATAATAATGTCATCCTTTTGTCTTTCCCACTGAAGCTGTCCTTTTAGTGTGATCTGATTAAGGCCATGAGAAACCTTTAATAGGTAATAAAAAATAAGTTGATAAAGTTACTAGTGCTCCAGGAGACATACCTGTGTATTCCAGATGTGTACACATTTGTCGAAAGAACCACTGGCCAGATATCTACCATCAGGACTGAAAGCTACACTGTACACAGGTTCTTGATGTTTCGTCAAGGTGTGGATGCAAATCCCTCGGTCTACGTCCCATAACCTGACTGTAGAATCAAAGGATGCACTACCAGAGGCAAGAGGAGAACAATAATTATTAATTTTAACTGTAATTTATACATTTATTCATAAAATGTACCTCTCACTACAATCGTCTGTAGAGATTCTCAGTCATCCAGGTCATGGTTGTCCCAAAGGTGCTTTTTCAGGAGGCAACTGGACTTTCTTGTTTTTTTTTCTTTGAAGACGTTTCGCTTCTTATCCAAGAAGCTTCTTCAGCTCTGACAGGATAGTGGATATCCTTTCATTGCCCACTATCCTGTCAGAGCTGAAGAAGCTTCTGGAATGAGAAGCGAATCGTCTTCAAAGAAAAAAACAAGGAAGTCCAGTTGTCTCCTGAAAAAGCATCTTTGGGACTCCCACTACAATCGTAAAAAGGCTCTTGACTTCCAAATTGGACATCTTCTCTCTCCCTCGGTGGTGACTATGCAAAACTGGCTGTTACTCTCCATTTCTTAGAACTTCTGAGAACATGGAAAAATGTGGAATACTGTTTCCGAGTGGGATGGAAGTTTTGCCCGTCTTGAATGAGAAAAGCGATTACATCCGGTCATTTTATATCAAGCAGCCACAATTTAGGGGACATTGAGCTACTTGGCTGTTGAGTAAGTCAGCAATGAAGTATGTGAGGAAAAGGACTTTGTGTTATAATTGAAGTACATGATGCTGAATGCTGGTGCTATGTAATATATAAGATTGCTATGGTTGGCTATATGATGATTGGGTATTAGAACAATTATTCAAAGCATGCTACTGCAAGGCACCTCCTCCTTGCCTAGTTTATATTCTGGAGAGAGATGGGAATTTAGGAGATATTTGGAAGTCCTACCCTTAGGAAAGCCAACATCTGTCAATATAGCAGGTTCATGAGTATATGCTAACTAGCAGGATAAGTAGGGGCTGGCAATCCATGTAAAATATAATGTACTATGATTCCTTTTTAGGTGTAACTTAAAAGCATATTTTAACCAATTTACAGGTAGACCTGAGTTTACGACTTGTCATTTAATGACAATTCAGTGTTACGATGGATGCCCCCAAACTACTTACGACCTGTTTTTGAAGTTACAGGTGTAACCCCTCCCCTGCAGTCATGTGATCACATTTTGGGCACTTGGCAACTGACTCATGTTTACAGCTCCATCCTGTAGTCACAATCTACAAGTTTTCAGCAAAAAGATACTCATTGGGGAGAATTTATTTGCTTAATGTCCATGGCTTTCACTTAACGACTGCTGCAAACTAAATGGGTAAAGGTAAAGGTTCCCCTTTCACATATGTGCTAGTCGTTCCTGACTCTAGGGGGCGGTGCTCATCTCCGTTTCAAAGCCGAAGACCCAGCGCTATCCGAAGATGTCTCCGTGGTCATGTGGCCGACATGACTCAACGCCAAAAGCGCATGGAATGCTGTTACCTTCCCACCAGAAGTGGTCCCTATTTTTCTACTTGCATTTGTTACGTGATTTCGAACTGCTAGGTTGGCAGAAGCTGGGGCAAATAACAGGAACTCAACCCGTTACGCGGCACTAGGGATTCGAATCGCTGAACTGCCGACCTTTCGATCAGCAAGCTCAGCATCTTAGCCACTGAGCCACCGCATTCCTATGCAAACTATATATATATATATATATAGTCACATGATTTCAATGTATTAAATGTGAATTTGATTCCCTGTTTAGGTTTAAAAAGGGACAGTTATCTTCTTCAGTGTTCCATCTATTCATGCTACCTTACTTGTTAAAAAGCAATTAAAATATGAAAAAAAAAAAAAAATTAAAAGAATTTCCGAATCAGGAAAGGGATTGATGAGGGTAGCAAAACCACGATGTTCTTTAGAGGTAATCTGAGTTAATGGGATTACACGTTAAAATTCTGAAGGAAAAAAAGGAAAAGGAAAAAAGGAACCCCACAACACGAAGGGTATTATATCTGAGTATTTTCCAAATTTTCCTATAAAAATCCTGAAGCACAGTTGTGGAACCATTTCTATACTCAAGAGGCAGAATAGTGTGTGGTCTCCATATTTAATCTCAATAGAACAGTTTCTAGACTAGCTCAGAAAAGTCACTAAGGAAAATTATTGGCTTCATTTTTTTCCCCCTCTCCTACACAGGGGAAACCTTACCTTGCTAACATTAGATTGGCGTTTGGATTGTTTGTTCCTGGCCCTGTAGGGCTCCATTTGATAGTATAAATTTCTTTGTTGTGGGCCTGCAGATCATGAACACAGCTATCTTGCTTCATACTCCAGATCTTAAAAAAAGTGAATAAAGAAAGCAACAATCAGCTTTATTTAATTTTAGGTAAAAAGATATTCTCATAAATCTTGCAGGGTTTTAAAGCAAAACACAATAAAAGGAAAAAAGATCTATTTTAATCTGGTTTTTTTAAAAGACAGAAACCTGTTTTTATACCTCAGGTACGAGATAGCAATACTCAAGAATGAAGTTATATTTTTAAAACATGAGCTTTTTATCTGGATTCACTTTATCGAAATATCAATTTATGGTAGCTTTATCTTAGAAAAATAGAATGAAGGCCTTTTTTGTGACTATTTATAAGAGAACATACAATTTCTACTATATCGGAAAGGACGCAGACTGATAAAATATCTACTCCATGCAAGCTGATCTGACTTCTATATTGGCAGGGGACTCTTATTTCAGTGATGAAAAACCTATGACAAGTATGTCACAGGTGACATGCCTCAATGTTTTGGGTGAGGCATCAGCTGTCATCAATACCCAACATCTATTCTCGAAAACACACCCTCCTTCTCATGCCATTTTCAAAAGCTGCAAAGGCCGTGTGAGAATGGGCAATGCCAGTGATGGCTAACCTTTTTTTCCTTGGGTGCTGAAAGCGCGTGTGCACATGAGATAGCAGGCGCGTGCCCACACCCATAATGCAATGCCCCTCCACGCATGTGTGTGTGACCCCCCCATGCTGCCCCCCCTGCGCATGCATGTGCAACCCCGTTTGTATTGCCCCACGCATGTGCGTGACAACCCCCCCCCCGCGCCCCATTTTGGGCCTAGCAGGTCTCCCTGAAACCTCCGGAGGCCGGAAACAGCCCGTTTCTGGACTTCCGGTAGGCCTGTTTTTCCTCCTCCCAGAACCTCAACGCGAGCCCTGTACTTACCTGGCATCCAAAACGGGCCGCTTGGAGACTCCTGGGAGGGGAGGGGTGGTGTGGGAGGTGCCAGCCAAAAATCAACTGGCTGGTGGGAGGTGTCATGCATGTGCGGTGGAGCTGACCTAAAGCTCGCGTGCCTGCAGAGATGGTTCTGTGTGCCACCTGTGGCACGCATGCCATACGTTCGCCATCACGGAGCTATGTTCTTGCATGGCTCCTGGACATTAGGGGACAGAGGGGCTTCCAAAACTTGTTTGAGAATGGGAATGTGCTTTCACGCAATCTTAGGAAGTCATGGAAGATGACTGAGGTGGACTTGCATGCCTTGGGGAATGGCCTTCTGAGTGGCAGAGGTGGCACTAGGGCTGAAATCAATGTCCAGGCCTGTACTGCCACTTATCAGCGGGACCTAAATTAGGGGCAGGGGTAGAAACAGAGAACTTTTCTTTTTTTTAATTTGGCTGTGTGTTACCCAACAGCAGAATCAGTTTAGACATTTTCTGAATTTTTGACATGCTGAGCTCAAAAGGTTCACCATCACTGCTCTACTTTCTGAGGTCTAGAGTAGAAGCTGAGTGTCCATCTTCTTTCATAGTGTTGCACAAATACCACTCCTCCTCCTCCATCTCCTCCTAGTTTTTACTCAGAAGCGTGCACCCTCTTATGGTCAAGAAAGCAATTAAGTCCTTTTCCACGTTATCAACTCTTGCAAGTTTAGGAACAGGAGTCATATAGCAGCTGTAGGGCTGAGCCAGATACAGGCAGCTAGGACTTCCACAGTGCAATCAAGTAGATACAGATATAAAGATTGAAATGACGAGCATAGATGGGAGACAGCTATTTTCCCAATGATTTCGCAAAAAGAATCCAAAATGACCCAGTGCGGCAATACACTTTTACCTTTAGAGTCATGTCATCGGAACAAGAAGCCAGAAGATTACCAGTGGGATCCCATTTGATTGCATTTACTTCATTCTGAAAATAAGCAGCAAGAGAGAGATTGGCATCTCAGTTTTCTTTATAAGAGAAACATCAGATTAAAGGGGGGAGGATGGTTTCCCAGCTCAAGGGGGAAAAAAAAAAACCAGGGAAAATGTAGAAAATATCGTGAAAATGTCTGGCTAGAAGTAATCCAGGGGCAGAAGACATACTTTAGGAGAATTAACTGAGTTTGTATGTTGGAACTTTACAGCAGGTTAAATCTTTAAGGGGCCAATATCACAAAATGTACTTATTAAAAAGTAATTTAGAGTCCAGAAGAAGGACCTTCTCTGCTGTGGGTCCTGCTTTTGGAATATTTTATCTGAGGTGAGATTGACCTCCCACCCTTCTGACTTTTCAAAAGAAGCTTAAGACCTGGTTCTGCCAGATGACTTGGGATCCAATGGAAGAGCTTCGCACTGGAAATGGTTTGTTAATTAAAAACTGATCCCATCTCTCTTCCCCCGGAATCCCGGTCCTTCCTTTGCCATCTTGTGTGAATGGTTTTATTTGCTTTGTTATCTGATATCTGATGATTTTAATGCTTTTATGCTGCAAGCTGTCCAGTGTTGTTTGATATGAGATGGGCAGCAAATACATTTCATAATAAATAAATAAAAAATAAAAAAATAGTAGGAAGGTGTAAGAGATGACCAGGCTGAGCCCAAGGGAGGGATCAAACGCATCGTAAGTCACAAGTCCCTTTGGGCCTGCAAGAGATCTAAGGTCCATCCCATCTTGAATATTTCTCTTATCTCCCGCTCATTTCCCTTGATCATCAGTTGGCCATATTCTTGTAGAGAGCTTAAGAGCTTGCAATACACATATTCATTTATACTCATTTGAACTGCCTGGATCTCCTGATTTCACCGGCACTCAACAGAAGGGTGCTTAGTACTTGGGACCTTCTCTTCCCCCCGACCAAGAACATCCTCCAAATAACATCACCGTAACACTACAACTTCCACAGCAACAGCATTCCGACTTCATAAAGGGTATACAAATTGGAGATATTGAATGGTATATAACCTTTGCTTTCCCTGGAGACTAGCTGAATTCATTCTTGAAACATGTTCGATGTCTATAGAAAACTGACACTTTTTTTTATTGGGAACTATGACTTTTGACAAATTTTACCTAAGACAACAGGGAACAGGGAAGAAAGAACAACAAACTGTGCTTCAACCTTTGTTGTTATTGATGGCCTCCAAATAGGGAATTATGGGAATTGTAATGCAACACATCTAGAGGGCGTACGGTGGGTTGGAATAGACTGGTTTGAACAGAATCTCTTTACTTTGCTTCACACATGCAACTAGAACTATGTGGTTAACAGCTAAAGAAAAAATTACTTACTGTGTGGCCCTGGAAGGTTTTGATGGGTTTATCTTGACCTAATTTACAGACATGAATACACATATCTGTACTACAGGAGGCAAATGTGTTGTTGCTCTGCCAGTCAACATCTAACGCTGGTGCTATTGACAAAAAAAGAAAGAAAAAAGTCAGAAGAAATAAATCTTTGCAATCATCAGCAAATGAAAAAGATGAGATGACTGGCCAGTTTAGAGTCAACAGAATTTGGAATGCAAAGTTCATGTTGGGAAGGTTCAAGGAGAGACTGTTTTATACTCGAAGGGGAGCTGTGAATATGACAATTAATCAGAATTTGTATTATCTAATTTGTCAGATTTACAGTAGTGGCCAAAATTGTGGAAATCTTTTGGGAAAAGTGTATTTTCTAAAACTAGCTAATAATACCACTTTTTTTTTTGGAGTAATACCATAAAATTATATATCAATGGAAAGTTAATGTAATCAATAATGTAATGCAATAACCTTTATAAAGGGTTTGCTATTAGAATAGCAGTTACAGTATAAAGAAGAAAAGTGAAACATGTAAAAAAAACGAGATATACAAAAATTATCACTATATCAGTTAATAGTTGGGTAACCTTTAGCATGAATTACGGCCTTACAACGTCTCCCTATGGAGTGAACCAAGTCTTTTATTTCTGCAGCTATTATAATGTGGAACCAAGATTGAATGATTGCTTCTATTAACTGGGTTTTATTGCTGGGTCGCTTCTGACTAACAAGTTTCTTTAGTCGGCTCCATAGATTTTCAATTGGGTTAAGGTCTGGGCTATTCCCAGGCCATTCCAGCAGTGGATAATGATTACCTTGAAACTCCCAAAAAAAGTGGTGTTATTAGCCATCAAACCTCAAAAATACACTTTTCCCAAAAGGTTTCCACTATTTTGGTTACTACTGTATATCCTGCTTTTGTCATATTTATATCCTACTTTTCTTCCAACTCAACGGTTCATGGGAAATTCCAACACTACAATCTTCTTACAAAATTATAACCCAACAACAGAAGCAGTTGGACTGTAGTGTAACCACCGATATAAAATACCACACTGTTCCCATCTTTACATCAGCGACAACATTGATTTCTGAAGGTCACCAGACATTTTGGCACTGATTTAGTGAAATATTTGCATTATGGAAGGATTAGCTCTAACATGGAAAGGTTTTCATTCCATCACTGAAAATTCATCATATGAATCAACTAGTGTGGAATATAAGAGGCACACATGACATGAAAATCGATATGCACTATTTAGCACTGAAATAATATTGGTAGTCCTCAAATTATAGCGGCGATTAGGACTGGAATTTCCGCCACTAAGTGATATGGTTGTTAAGAACAATGTCACGGGACTGCATTGTTTAGCGACAGCAATCCAGGCAGTTGCTGTCATAACCCCAAGATGCGCAGGCTGTTAAGCGGGAAACAGTGGGAGTGCCAAGTAATGAGTGTGAAATTGCCACAAGGGGGAAGACCCAGTGCAGGCCAAACATGGAGGGTATGGATGTTGCAGAGTGGCGCAATCTCAAGAGTGGGGAGAAGACATTGCAGTGCATGCAAACAAGGAGGAGAAGTAGGACATGGTGCATGTGAGTGAACAGGAAGGAGTGTATAATGCGTGTGAACACTGCTCGATAGTGAAGTGCGAGCTGGAATCCAAATTTTAATCATTTGGCGCTGCAAAGACCAGAACTTCAAAGGCTGGTTGTAGGTCCCTTTGTTCAGCACCTCTGTAACTTTAAATGGTTGCTGGACAAAAGTTGTTGGATGTTAAAATGAGGACTACCTGTATAATAAAATGCAAAGATTATAAATCATTATTTTAAGTAAAATCCAATCAAGAATCGAGAAAGCGGTCTATTCTAATACGTTGCTGGTAGCAATGCAAACTCGAAGTTGAACTGATTCAATTCAAGAGAAAGTAAATTAAACCAGTTTCCTTTTTCTGTCAATAAGAGGAAATCTGAAACAAGATAGAAAATTTATTTTTAAAGGACCCTGCAATTTCCCCACAGCTGAACTAGCTGGAATATCAACTAATAGTGCTGTTGGAAATATGTGCTAGCTGTAAATATGCACGCACCCATAAACACACACACACATACATACACATACTACAAAAAAAAAAAAACCCTCAAAAACTATTATTAACTAAGTCACAAAACACTGGCTTATGAGCTGTTCCTTCTTTAATCGGAAGAGAAAATACATACCAGAATGAAAAGGAAACTGCTGTTTGGCTTCTCCAGTATGTGCATCCCAAATAATTGTGGTCTGAATTGAAAAATGGAACAAAAACCATAAAATGGTTTTACAATGTTGAATATGTTTAAATTTACCAAAATCAACTGAAACAATATTTAAGACTATATTTTCTAAAGAACGGATTCCCTTTTAAAGGCTAATGAGTCGAAGAATATAAATTGTAGGCTTTTCTTATCAAAATGTTTCTTTTCACTGCCATGTCATCTGTATGTTCTAGGTCAGTGATGGCTAACCTTTTTCTCGTCGTGTGCCGAAAGTGCGCCCCCCCACTCATGACCCTCATGTTCCCCTCGCGCATGCATGCACAAACCCACCGCCCCGATTTTGGCCTAGCAGGCTTTCCTGCAGCCTCCTGGGCCCAAAAGCTGCCATAGGTTCACCACCATGGTTCTAGTTTTATAACTATTGCAAACACAACTTTTTTAACTAAAAAGAAAAATTAAATTGTGCTTCAATACAAAAAAGATTCTAACTTGGGGTTGAACTGTGGAGCCCTTGGTGCTCTCCGAGTTTGATTATTTTCATTATCCAACTATGTAAATGTTCAGTGCTGAACCACAGTCTTGTAGCACTTAAGATGTTACCTAATTGGTTAATGAAACATCTGCAAGAAAACAACCAAGCTCAGAGAGCACCAAGGACCCCATAATTTAAAGTCTATTATGACTATACAGATAGTTTTTGACTTAACAACTGTTGTTTAGCGACCACAAGTTGCAACACCACTATAAAAAAAGACTTATGACCATTTTTCACAGTTATGACTGTTGCGGCATCCCCATGGTCATGTGATCAAAATTCTGGGGCTTGGCAAGTGGCATGTATTCCTAACAGTTGCACTGTTCTGGGATCATGTGATCATCACTTCCTGGCTTCCAACAAGCAAAGTCAATGGGAGAAGCCTGATCTGTTTAACAACTGCAGCGAGTTGCTTAACAATTGTGCAAAAGAGGTCGTAAAATGGGACAAAATTCACTTAACAAATGCCTTGTTTAGCAGTAGATATTTGGGGCTCAATTGTGGTTGTAAGTAGAAAACTACTTGTATTCCTACACTTGCCCACAATTTGTTTAGAAAAAAAGAGTGGTATCTGTTATGCTTACTAGTTGCTAATAGTAAAGTGAAACACCTAAAACACCTGTATTCTTTCTAAAGAACACTTCATTTTGTGTGTTCCATATCCTAAACTAGGGTGTCAAACTCGATCATGTCACATGACGAATCACAATGGTTTTTTTTTTTTTTTTTGGCAGAGCTGGGTTGGGCGTGGCCTGCACGTGATGTATCTGGCCCATGGGCCCCCAGTTTGACACCACTGTCCTAAACTATCTTCATAATTTTATCTGCAGCAATGTATTTCAAATAAACCAATGCCATCTTACCTTGTCCACACCTGCACTTAAAATGAAGTTTCCTTTCTTATTCCATTTTAATGCAAATATGGGACCTTTATGCTGTCCTAATGTGCTGGCAAGATTACCTAAAAATTAAAGGACACCAGTTATTATATTTTGCCTGACTGACCAAAAAGTATTTGAAGTACTTCCTCCTGTCATATTTTATCTTTAAAAGGGGGAAAAGGACTAATAATGTTGCTCTTACCATCTTTAGTCCATATCCTTGCAAAACCATCATACGACCCCGTTGCTAGGAGCGTACCTTCACTCTGGAATATAAAGTATAAACATTATTCTATTACTGTGTGTTCTAACAGTCTGTAATCTTCAAACAAAGCATGCTTCCTCTGGTTTAGAGATGTGCAAAGTGTGAATTATACACATCCCCTCTCAAAGCTTTCGTGTTTCATGAAATTTTCTTTGTGCTTGGTAGGGTGATCATATCTTCCCAAGCAAGAAGTCAGGGTTTTTTGAGGAACTGCTAGAAGAGGTGTGCAAAATGTTTCAACCTGAAATATCCCATGATTTTCTTGCTTAAAGTATCCCTATCTACTTATGATCATTTCTGACTTCTCATAAGATCACAACAGAGTATCTGGGGAGCAGACCAGCTCAACTCTGAATCATTTTGGGCATCAAAGGTGTGTTTAATGAGTCCTATTACAAGTATCTTTGGAGAGAAAAAAAAGTTCCACAGACTCTCTCAGGAATCAGTGGCTAGCCATTTTAGAATAGAATAGAATTACAGAGTTGGAAAGGACCTTGGAGGTCTTCTAGTCCAACCCCCTGCTTAGGCAGGAAACCCTACACCACTTCAGACAAATGGTTATCCAACATCTTCTTAAAAATTTCCGGTGTTGGAGCATTCACAACTTCTGGAGGCAAATTGTTCCACTGATTAATTGTTCTAACTGTCAGGAAATTTCTCCTTAGTTCTAAGTTGCTTCTCTCCTTCATTAGTTTCCACCCATTGCTTCTTGTCCTACCCTCAGGTGCTTTGGTGAATAGTTTGACTCCCTCTTCTTTGTGGCAACCCCTGAGATATCGGAACACTGCTATCATGTCTCCCCTAGTCCTTCTTTTCATTAAACTAGACATACCCAGTTCCTGCAACCGTTCTTCATATGTTTTAGCCTCCAATCCCCTAATCATCTTTGTTGCTCTTCTCTTCACTCTTTCTATTTTAAAATAGAAACTTTTTAAAAGAATATCTCATTTCACACTGATCTTCTTGCAAATCTATCATTTCTTCATATCCTTCCTTTAATGAACTTTTGAGAGTTGTTCCCTAAACTTCTCTGTGAAAGACTTTTTTGATGGTTGAGTTAATTCATTTTGATTTGACTCGAGGGGTGAGTTTTTTTGCTGCACAAAGATTCAATTGCAGGTGAACGTGTTCCTTGTTTCTGGCAAGATTATCCAGAAAGTTTGAAGATTGCTTTTGTTCACCCATACAAATGCTGCTATTCCACATTTGCTTCATATTCTCTGGAGCCACATTTTCAGGCACAACTGCTGTTTCATAACTCCAATGCACTATAATCCCAAAGGTGCTTTTTCAAGAGGCAAGTTGTTTGAAAGTCCAGTTGCCTCTTGAAAAAGCACCTTGTTTGAAAGTCCAGTTGCCTCTTGAAAAAGCACCTTTGGGACAACATGGCCTGGATGACTGAGAATCTCCACAGACACATACAGTACAGTAAAAACCAATTTGCAAAAGACTGCTGAATTTTGAAAACTTTTTGAAAAACTCGGGATACATGTCTAGATTAATGAGTGTGTATACTTAATCTCCCTGGTACACCTTACACTGAAACTTCAGCAGAAGACCTCTTGGGCTTGGTTCTACCACCAGAGGAATAAAACATATGTCTACAGCGCTCATGGAAATCTGGAAGTGGTCACCTCCAGGAATGCATGTATTTGAAGCTCAAAATATGATTACTAATTTGAACATGGGAATTTTTGCTCACATTCCAATCCAGAGATGTTACATCTTTGTTACTTGGTACGTCTTGCCCTCCTTCTCGTATACAGTGCCGAAGCACCAGCTGCGTAGATCCGCTGGTACTATTTTCACTAAGATTCCAGATTCTTGCCGTTGAATCTCCAGATCTGCAAAATAAACAGCTTCTTTCAAACAAAATACAATTCTTTTCAGTCAAGGTCACCAAAGACTTAAAAAGAGAAGAAGAATATGAAGTGTTCTTGAAAAGCATCAAGAAAAAATGTACTACCATGCAATTTAATAACTATTCAGTTATAAGTAGACCTCGACTTACAACTAGTCACTTAGTAATCATCTGAAGTTCCAATAGATCTCCCTGTGGGTTACTTATGACCCGGATTTGAAGTTCTGATGATTGGGGAGTCCCTCTGGGTCACATGACCACACTCCAAGTGCTAGGCCACTGGACTGCATTTATGGATACTCATAGCATCCCAGTCACTTGACTGTGTTTTATAATGAAATTGGCAGTTCATTATGGTTTTCACCAAAATTGGTTCATAGCAAACCTTTGCTTCACCTAACAACCAAAGCAATAAGGTCATAAAATCAGGTCAGTTATGCGACCAGAGAGCTTTCGACCATCACAACTTTCAACCATAATTGAAAGCTCCGTTATGGTCATAACTCGAGGCCTGCCTGTACAAATCATCCGCTATGTAGAGATGATTCCGTAACAAGATTCAAACTCCTTGGACTTTAGACAAGATAACCTGATTGCTCCTATTCAACCAACTAAACCAGAAGAGCATTGTCTTACATTCCCCTTCTCATACAAGTGTCTATGTGCTACTAATCAGACTCAAAATCTCCCGTTTCCTACATTTCCAATTCAACAAGTTAGGAAGATATGGAAATGAAGAAGTTTTCTTTAGGATTAAAGCTGGAAAAGAGAGGTTACATTTTCAACTTCTTTAGGAAAGCATACCCTGAGGCCAAAAGATCACTGACAGGGTTCCAGGCGCAGATGAAAACTTCAGATTCGTGACCCCGCAGCACCACTGCTTTGTTAGGAGGGATTTCAACATCACCATCCACTTCCATCATATCTGTATGATTATCTATCCAAAAGAAACCATAAGGAAAGGGGAGGTATGTTGCCATTAAATTATTGTTGTTTTGTTATTGTTATTATTCATTCATGCCCTACGTCTAGCTTATGGGATACCTAAGGACATCATCACTTTTATTACAGGTAGTCCTCAACTTACGACAGCTCATTTAGTGACTGTTCAAAGTTACAACGCCACTGAAAAAAGTGACTTAGGATCGCTTTTCACACTTACGACCCTTGTGGCGTCTCTATGGCTTTGTGATCCAAATTCAGACGCTTGGCAACGGATTCATATTTATGACGGTTGCAGTGCCCTAGGATCATGTGATCCATATTTGTGACCTTCAATGGGGAAACCACTTAACTACTATGTTATTAATTTAACAGCTGCAGTGATTCACTTAACAACTGTGGCAAGAAAAGTTGTAAAACAGGGCGAAACTCATTTAACATATGTCTCACTAAGTAGCAGAAATTTGGGCTCAATTGTGGTCATAAGTTGAGGACCACTTGTATTTGGTTCACTCTTTTTACTCTCATAGATATGTTGTTAATGTGCTATCTCACACCTCTACTTGAATTCTTAATAAGAGTCCATATCCTTTTTTAAAAATTAACTGAATATTGAAAAGGAAATAAGACTCCATATCCTTGTCATTGATTGTGCATACATTTTAGTCCTAAAGTAAAAGTGTCCTTTGATAATTTTGGACTATAGTTCCCATCAACTCAAATCCATGGAGCTTGAGTCAGGAATAATAGGACACATAATAGCCTTAATATTCAGGAGGTTCCAATTTGGAGAAGTTGTAGTAGATTCATATGTTGGTCTTTAAGGAGGGAGGTGTTGATTTAAATACCCCACTTGACCAGATTAGAACGATCTTATCTTAATAATTGTTCTATAAAGGTAAAGGTTCCTGCTAGTCGTTCCCGACTCTAGGGGGAGGTGTTCATCTCCGTTTCAAAGCTGAAGAGCCAGCGCTGTCCGAAGACGTCTCCGTGGTCATGTGGCTGGCATGACTAAACGCCAAAGGTGCACGGAACACTGTTACCTTCCCACCAAAGTGGTCCCTATTTTTCTACTTGCATTTTTTACGTGCTTTTGAACTGCTAGGTTGGCAGAAGCTGGGACAAGTAATGGGAGCTCATCCCGTTACGCAGCACTAGGGATTCGAACTGCTGAACTGCCAACCTTTTGATTGACAAGCTCAGCATCTTAGCCACTGAGCCACCGTGTCCCCATTTGTTCTATAGAATATTCTATTGGGTGGGTGGGGGGGGAAGGAGGCTAAGATTGACAAATGGATAAAAAAGTACACAAAATGCTTTCATCATTGTCTTATATTTAAAAATGGATAAATCACGCATGAGGATGTAATTCAGTAATAAAGGGAATAAAAGGTCTGAATTAAAATAAAGCTAAAACAGTTTTGAAGTCTATACAGGGTATGTTTCTTTGTACATGTGTGGTTCTTCCATCCCTCCTCCATGATAAAAATTGCGTATGCTCTAAGAGGAGAATATTAACTGGTAAGGTTTAAAAAAAAAAAAATCTGTTTTATATGAAGTTTCTTGGCTCTCAAAAACAGCTTGTTGGTAGTTTTATCACGTTTATCTAACTTGAATTGAATACTGCGACTACGTAGCCAATCAATGGCTATGATTCAGTAATATATAATATATTTCTCAGGAATATACTTCTTTGGCAAGAAGAGACTTATTAAGCACATATTTCTCAGTAAACAAGACCAGATGATTTACCAAAAACAGCTTTATTGTGAGCTAGCATCAAAATCTTTTTTTTTTTAAATTAAATTAAATTAAAATGCTAAAAGGTTATGTTTGGATTACAAGAGCAGAAGTTGAAAACGATCACGTAGTTCATTTTCCATGAAATGAGAGGCACGTTAAGCATAGCCTTTGATCTCTGGCAAACTAATTTAAGAGGATTCCTTCTACTCCTGGGTGGAACAGTAGTCCTAAGAGACAAGAGGACTTTGTGTGCTCACGTACATTTAATGCATTTGCTTGGGTGTGTGAAAGAGACTGAATTAGCTATTCCAGCACAATTGGCAATTGAATGGAGCAGCTGGATATATTCACTTCTAGGAAGTGAATAGGAAGACTCATGGTCTCCAGTATTTGCCTGTTTCGCCAGCAGGGGGGGTTCGTTCACCACAATCTCCTTGTTCCTTAAGGGTGGCCACTTTAAGAGATATGGACTTCATCTCCCAGAATTCCCCAGCCAGCTGCTGCTAAAGTTGAGAAATATTTCCTTAGATCAGGGATGTCAAACTGGCGGCCGGAGGGCCGGATGCGTCACGCGCACAGGCCAAGCCCACTTTGCCATCACGTGACGGCAAAGTGACACGGCGAGTTTGACACCCGTGCCTTAGATCAACATTTTGAATTTCCAGCAGAAGCAGGCCACAGGGGCTTGTAAATGCAAAAAAAAAAAAAAAAAGGAAAGGCAGGCAATGGCTTAAAATAAATCTGTATGTTGTAAAACCAATCCCAAATAATAGCTACATAAGGTAGGGTGTTTCCCCTCTGCTTTTGGCTTTTCTTTATTTATCTTCTCATCCATCTGACTGACTTGAATGTTGAAATGCTTAAAATAGCTACACAGATTGCATTTCAAAATATTTTTTTAAATTTTTTTTTAAAAAAGTTGTGAGCGGGTTTTGTATGCAGAAGGTGGAATAACTGAGTTTTTTTAAATACACAAGCACATACTCAGGCTGCCTACCAAATCATTCGCAATCCATTAATTGCATCTCCACTCACTTGCTATAGTATGGGCTCCATTCTCCTCTCCGTTTGCAGTATTTTCACCATTTTTCGTAGATCCTTGCTGGTTTGTTGAAGCCGCTGCGGCTGCGGCCGCGGCTGCCTGTTGCTGAGCAAGTTTGTCTCTGTATGCCTGCTGCCTCGTTTGCACCACATCGGGCATCACGGCGTCTATCAGCGAGAGAGACTCTATCGGCCGGCCATCAAACAAAGTACCATCCTAAAAACACAGGGGTAGAAGGTAAGAGACAAGTAGAAAAGGAGAAAGGGGGGGGGGGGATATTTCATTAGCAACAGGTAAAAAAATCTGCAACGTAAATTAGAAAACAAGACACAGATCCTGAATATACTGAGGTGCATCGATTATCCAGAGCGTTAATTATTAACCCTGTTTACTGAAAATCACACAAGTTAGGCATTAAGGTTGATTTAGAGTTGTCGAACTCTAACTGCCACAGAATACGTGATTTTCCGGCGAGACCGGTCTATCGTGCAACCTGGTCTACCTAAATATGGGACGGAGCATACTGAGTCCGCTTTCGCCTTTCAGCCCCAATCCAGGAGCCTTTGCAGGCAGTTGCTTCCGCGACAAACGGAAGTAGCTATACTAATCTCCCTTTATTTCTCTGTCGGTAAATTTAAATTTAACACAAAATAGTTTATTGTAACCTTCTTATTCTTTTGACTGTGTTGCTGGCTGATAAAAGCGGCTCAGCCTATAAAATAATGATTTACTTTAAACTGAACCATTTCCATAACCTATCCAAAGAGGTCTTTGGGGATTGGCAGCCAATAAGAGCACTGGAGTGTGAGAATCAAATTCTGACTATTCAAGGTGCCCTCACAAATATATGCCCTACAATAATGGGTTCAGCTTGGTACTATTCCCAGACCGGTGGAAGCCTTCAAATTGACTATTTCTCAGTGGCCTTCAAGCACTGGATTTATTTCTGGATCCTGCCGGTAATTAAAAAAAGAGATTTCCTGTTGCACTGGATACAAATGTTGAAGAGTTCATCCATTTTTAAAGACGAGGCAGTGATGAAACCTCTGCTTGTCACTTCTTAAACACTGGGGAAGAGTCAATATAAATCAATAAGCTACAGTCTGTACCTCTAGGATAAAGGTTGGCAACGTGGCATTTGCAATACCACTAGATGGCATCCGTTCCCTTATTTAGAAAATCAAGTGTGTTTTAAAAAAGCTGATAACAACAGTAATAATAAGCAGACCCAGTACCAATAGTGATAGGTGCCTTGGGTGCAATCCCAAAACATCTGGAGTATCACTTGAACATCATTAGCACTGACAGAATCACTACCAAATGCAAGAAGTGGGTTTACTTGGAAGGGTTTACATTCTGTGATGATATCTAACGCCAACAAATATTTTATTTATACATTTATACACGTGTACGTGTACGTGTGTGTGTGTGTGTGTGTGTGTGTGTGTATCAACATCTGCCCATCCGAGGTCCTTGGAAAGGACTCAATGGGTTGATAAAAATGCCAAATCCAGTCTAATCTGACTCAACTATGTTACTAACCATAATAATAGTACCCTGTTTTCCCCAAAATAAGACATCCCCCAACAGCCCCAATCGGGCTTTTGAGCGCATGGCAATAAGGCCAAGCACTTATTTCAGGGTTAAAAAAAAAAAAAAAAGACAGGGTCTTATTTTCGGGGAAACACAGTAACAGCAATGGGATTTCTGAATACAAACTGATAAAAGTCTTGACACATAACGCAACAGATTTAACCATGGTTGAAAAGAAGCAAGTGTGGATATTTGATGGGGCAAGATCAGGAAATCATAGACTAGAAGACAAAAAAATTGGAAAAGATCACAAAGTATCAACATCTAAAAATCAAAGTTGAAAGATTTTGGCATAAATTGTATGTCATGGCCCCAGTGATTCTTGGCACCCTGAGTACCATATCAAAAAATACTGGATAGCACTTTAAAAAAATCTGTCAATTACAAAAAACCATAATGCTTGGATCTGCTATCCCATGCCGACACATTATGTTATCCTAGATTCTTGGGACAAACTCTATGATTATGAAGACCAACACTAAGCTAACAAATTGGCAGCTGTGCTTTCACATTGTTGTGAAGAGATTACAACAATCCCATTTTACTGTCCAGAGGGCAATGAAGGCAACTAAGGAGAGTAATTAAAAATCAGTTAAAAATCTGATTAAAAGCACTTCAAATCAGTATGAATTAATTCAACGTGAGAATACCGAGAGAACAGTGTTGTCTACTTAGCAAAGCTAAGCCAAAATACAGAAGGAGAATATTGTGTAGTGTGTGAGTAAGGAAGGACAAAGTCTGGTTGCTTCTTTGATCAATTGTGATGTCTGGACAAGTCATATTCACAAAACCCAACTGTTGAGCTCTTTAAGTCTTTAACAACAACAACTCATTAAATGCATATTCCACGTGACTCCCAATGAGAGTGGGGGAGGGGAAGAGACACACTTATAATTGCAGTAGATACAAACTGAAAGTCCAAGTTAAAGGGGTTTTTAGAAAATTATTTCAATGTTCACAGGTAGTCCTCAACCTGCAACCATTTGTTTAGTGACCATTTGAAGATACAACGGCACTAAACTGCAGCAAAGAAATCATAAAATGGGCCAAAACTTACTTAACAATTAACCTGCTTAGCAATGGAAATTTTTGGCTTATTCGTGGTCATAAGTCAAGGACTACAATTTTTTACGGGAACTCCCTTTGATGGGAATTGTCCCTAATTTATCTTCATTATGCTCTGATCTGTCTCACACTCAGCATGGATTCCTTTCCCTCCAACAATGAAAGCTGTGAAGAGTTTCTCAAAGGAGAAAAGTAGATGGATATTCAAAGCTGATGGGAAAAAAAACCATTTGCCACTCAACCACAACTGAGGTAACAAAAAGGCTTCTTATTGTGAAACAAGGACAGCATAAAGAACCATGCAGCATTAAGTAACCCGATGAAGACTTGGTTGGGGACCCAAAGCACCAACTTAAAATTCTCATATCATGTGACGGGAAATTGGGAATTTAGAACACAGAATGTCAGAGTTGGAAAAGACTTTAGAGATCTTCTAGTCCAACTACCTTGTCCAAGCAGGAGACCCGATACCATTCTGGGCAAATGGCTGTTCAATCACTTTTTAAAAACTTCCATTTAATGAATATTATTGGTTAAAAAAAACCAATTCCATGTTTGATGACAGAAATCAAAGAGAAGGGCAATAACATCATCAAGCCCCTCAAAACTGCGATGTTGAAAAGTTGTTGTCATTCACTACCATTTTTGCTGGGAATTAAGTATGAAAGAAGTATGAAAGAGGTGGCCCTGTGGCAATAACAGGAATAGTATTAGAAGTACTACTACTACTACTACTACTACTACTACTAGTAGTAGTAGTAGTACTTCTAATTTATTATTATTATAATATTATTATTATAATATTATTATTATTAATAATAATAAGCATTTTTGAATGTTCAGTTGACTGAGTTTCATGTTTAATGAATAATAATAATAATAATAATAATAATAATAATAATAATAATAATAATAATAGTAATAATAATGGCAGTGTATCCTCAGATTTCTTAAAATTGTTTTTTACTGGGTAAAAATATATATTTCCTCTTTTCACGAGGGAGACACACTATTAAAGTGTACTTCGTCTTCATAAGTACTGTAAAATCTTTGAACTTTTAGAGCCTTAATATTTGATAAGCATATAACCAACACTATTAAGCAGGGAATGAGGCATTTGGTAAGTGTACACCAGAGTGTAAGCCCTGTAAGTCAAAACATTACAAAGAATAATTGACCTGAACCCCAAAAAAACATGTTTGAAATGCTTCAGTCTTATTTAACAAGGAAGGCATAAGGAAGAGGGTGTCCAATACAAGAACACCAGGGCACAAACAAGGCAGAATAAGGGAAGCTAAGGATAGCTTAGATCGTCCAGAATATTGGAAGAAAAACATCCCAATGGTCCTGTAGATGAGGAGATGTCTTACCTCATTAATACTGACTTCCGCCTCCACATACTGCAGGCCTTTTTGAATTATTGAAATCAAAGCAGCTGGGGGCACCAGAGCACCGTTGATGTTGGATTGGCTGATATGGCTCTCGATACCGAAGGTAAATGCTGAATGAGAAAACCCTAAAGGCAAGAGAGAAATTACAGAAATGTTTTCATTTCCAGAAAGAGCACATGGTAAAGTCACAAGCAGCAACAACTTCCCCTGGAGAACCATATGGAAGGAGATTTGAGTGGTCTAAGAGTCCATGTTTCATTTTATTCTATCCCTAAAGTGTTACTCTACTCCCCTGATGGTGAACCTATGGCACGCGTGCCACAGGTGGCACGCAGAGCCCTCTCTGCAGGCATGCGAGCCGTCGCTCCAGTTCAGCTCCACCGCGCATGCGTGCGTGACTCCAGCCAGCCAGCTGATTTTTGGGTCTCTGCCGCATATGTGCAGGAGAGGGGCATACGGGAGACGCATGTGCATGCACGTGGGGGTGGGGTGGGGTCGCAAGTGCATGCGTGGGAGCAGGAGGGAGCGGTGCACCTCCGCACCCCATTTTTGGTCCCAGGAGGCTTCAGGGAGGCCTGCTAGGCCCAAAACGGGGCATGGGGGGGATGTCGTGTGCGCATGCGCGGGGGAGTCATGCACATGCGTGGGGAAGGGGAGCATGGGTGGCATCACACATGCATTGCATTATGGATGCTGGCACACACTCTTTCGGCACATGATAAAAAAAAGGTTAGCCATCACTGTTCTACTCCTATGCTCGATTTCTGGATTAGCAATGGGAAAGGGATAATATTGGGTGCTATTTTAAGAAATACATTCATGGAATTCAGTGAATTCAAACTTTATTTAAATCTTTCTATCTCCTTTTTTGATTTCCTTTTGACAGAAACTAGCAGGACACTCTTGCAATCCCAAAACAGAATTAGCCCCAAATAACCTTGTAATAATAACCCAGTAAGACTATTGCCATTCTTCTTAAATGTTCAATCCGAGTTAAAGGATGGCCAAAGAATTCCGATTTCTCCTATATCCTCTCAAATGATGTTTACCAAACACATATTTTGCTATCTTTCTTTAGAAACACCAAGTTAGATCAATCTCCAGGTAATGGATACCTTGATTCAATATTACACTTCCATTTAAATTTTGCATTAGCTATTTCTTTGTATGTATCAAATTATATATCTCAAGACGGCAGGAAAACAAGCTCATATGATTAACAAAAAAGCCCACGAAAGAACAGGAAACTATCAATCAAGACTATATCAAGTATTGTCAAGCAATTAAAAACAATAGAAACCAGAATGCAGCCTAAGAAGCAAAAAGCTACTTGATTGATCATGTATCATCAAGTCAGTGTGAACCGTTGAAAAGAATAACACATAAACGTAAGTTTAAAGTTCTGCTTTAAAATAGAACAATAAGGAGGCATATTTAACATTAGTTAATATTAACCAATCCACCATTTTAAATAGGTATAAATTAAGTCACAGCCAAGGACATCTAAGATATAACCATTCAATTCTCAGCAGCCTCAATGGATTACTGAAATTTTCAGTCAAACCTTCTATATAAATTCATCTCCAGCAGTTTGGAAATGGACCGTGAGGTTCCTCATAATATACCTGAAATGTGCTACTGATATGAAAAGAAAGAAGCTTCTAAATGTCAACAACCCATCATGCATTCAAGGATCCCAGGAAAAAAAATCTCAAAACTTTTCAAGAAGTTATGTGCGTGGTTGTTTTGGTGCCTTCAAATCAGTGATGTCTCCCGACAAAACTGGCTGGACCAAACCCTGAAAGATTCTAGGTAAGGTTGCCACAGTTTCCTTCCTAAGGTTGAGAGAGAATGACTGTCTCAAGGTCACCCACATGGCATCATGCCTAAGGAAAGACTTGGAACTCACAGACTACAAGTTTCTAGCCTGATGTCCTAACCGTTATATTACTATGATTAAATCTAGAGGGAAGACTTAGTTCAATAAATGTCTATGGAGATTCTCAATTATCCAGGACATGGTTGTCCCAAAGGTACTTTTTCAAGAGGCAACTGGACTTTCTGGTTTTTCTCTGAAGACATTTCGCTTCTCATCCAAGAAGCTTCTTCCATGAGAAGCGGAAGGTCTTCAAAGAAAAACCAGAAAGTCCAGTTGCCTCTTGAAAAAGCACCTTTGGGAGTTAGTTCAACACTTGATACTAAAATCAAAATTATATTGGGGCAATCACGAGAGGGGGAACATTTTCCACTTGATTGCCACAGCTTAGAAAATTTCTTCTGTGCCTCCACATATTGTTCTGTTTTGAATGGTGAGGCACTGAAGCATACCCTTATAAAATCTTAATTTCTCAGGCAGCTTTATTCAGGAAAGAAGTGCGGCTTCAAATATTGAAAACCCTTTAGGGTTTGTAATCTGGGCCAGTATACAATCCAACATCTGCATTTTGCAATAGATGAAGCTTCCAAGTCACCATCCCAAATATTTCCACAGACGGCTTGAATAGTTTGATTGAGAAAGCCTTTCTCAGATGAGATAGGTCTCTTCTGCACAATCAACATTTCACTCCTTCACTAGAGAAGGAAAAAGTAATCCAACTGCTTCTATTTAGTTAGCTGCTGTACTTAAAGAAAGCTCGCAGATGTGTTGACGATGTGGGCATAGAGAAAGACGTTACAGCAGATAAAGTAAGCCTTTAAATAAAACTGTCATTCCTTATAAAACAAATTTTTCTTCCTATTTCACAAAAATGGCTACTTATTATACACGGGCCTATCAAGACTAAAGTTATCAGATCCCTCTCACATTTGAGATCTGTTCCCTCTGACGAGATAATTATGGAAAAGAGTCACATGCCACCCCCCAAATCCCATCAAAACAGAATTAATTCAGTTATCACCTATGTAAATGGAGCTTTTATTACAGGTTGTCCTCGACTTATGAACACAATTGATCCCAAAATTTCCACTGCTAAGCAAGAAAGTTCTTAAGCGCCTTTTGCCTCATTTTATGACCTTTTTGCTGCAGTTGTTCAGTGAATCACTGCAGTTATTAAGTTAGTAGCATAGATGTCTGGAGAGATTCTCAGCCATCCAGGTCATGGTTGTCCCAAAGGTGCTTTGTCAGAAAGCTACTGGATTTTCTTTTTTTCCTTCCATTTCTCACTATCCTTGTCAGAGCTGAAGAACCTTCTTGGATGAGAAGTGAAATCTCTTCAAAAGAAAAAACAAAAAAGTCCAGTTGCCTCCTGAATTAGTAACACAGATGTTAAGTGAATCTGGCTTCCCCCTTGACTTTGCTTGTCAAAAGGTGATGATGTGACCCTGGGACAGTACAGCCCTCATAAATATATGCCAGTTACTGAGCCTCTGAATTTTGATCACATGGCCACAGGGGTGTTGTAATGGTTGCAAGTGTGAAGAACAATCATATTTCACTTTTTTTTCAGTGCCTTTTTAACTTTGAACGGTCACTGCAAGTCAACCTGTAGCTCCACACCTTATTAAATCACAAGCTAACTCTCACCACAGACACAAATGAATAACAGCAAGCTATGAGATGGTGTTTATGCTTAGAATATCTTCATTTTCATAATGTGAGAAAGCAAGCATAAAAGATGAATAAGTGCTGGCTTTTCTGTATGAGGGAGTTATTTGAAAATATTGTTCCCATCTGCCTTATCAATGTGCTGCTGATTCTATTTTTTTAATTGTAGAATTTGCTGATAATTTATCTTCAAGTCGCTTAACGGAAGGCAGTAGTAAAAGCACTCACTGTTCTTGGTATTTATATTTAATTCCCACTTTTGGAAAGAACCTATTTCTTTTGTAAACACTGGTTAAATATACCAGTCCTAAAACAAGGGGTGAGGCATGAGATGTATTTGCTAATTATTATTTTTTTCTGTGTTCATTTCTTTTTTAAATTGTATTGGACAAGGGAGAATATGCCTATACAAGGAAGGATTAACCATGATAAAACATTTTAATTGTGCGTGCATGCCATCACTAGGCATGCATTATTTCTGCACGCCCTTTCAAGAACAGCATAATTAACATTTTGCAAAGCAGGAAAATTAGGATTAATGGATCTAAATGCATTATTTGCTTTGCCCTGAAAAAGTTAAATCCATCATGAGGAAGAGATTCAACTTAAGCCATTCATACGTAATTAGAACTTTCAAAATGTTCCCTACTGGGACCTTGTTAATATACATATATTATAAACTATATATATTATATATAGAATGGTGCACATATAGCAGAAAATAGAAGGCAGTTTATTTCATAAATATGCTAACTGCATGGCCAAGTTCCTGATAAGACAATGCAGATAAGAAGCTGATTTTAGAATAGAATAGAGTAACAGAGTTGGAAGGGACCTTGGAGGTCTTCTAGTCCAACCCCCTGCTTAGGCAGGAAACCCTACACCACTTCAGACAAATGGTTATCCAACATCTTCTTAAAAACTTCCAATGTTGGAGCATTCACTACTTCTGGAGGCAAGTTGTTCCACTGGTTAATTGTTCTAACTGTCAGTAAATTTCTCCTTAGTTCTAGGTTGCTTCTCTCCTTGATTAGTTTCCACCCATTGCTTCTTGTCCTGCCCTCGGGTACTTTGACTCCCTCTTCTTTGTGGCAGCCCACAAGATATTGGAACACTGCTATCATGTTTCTACTAGTCCTTCTTTTCATTAAACTAGACATACCCAGTTCCTGCAACCGTTCTTCGTATATTTTAGCCTCCAGTCCCCTAATCATCTTTTTTGAATAAAAAAGCCACATATATCTGATGATGGTGGCGATAAAGAGGTGAAATTGTTTCTGGGGAAAACAATAAAGGTAGTTCTCAATTTACAACCATTTGTTTAGTGACTGAAGTTACAATGGCATTTAAAAAATGTGATTTATGACCATTTTTCCCACTTGCAACTTCCCCATGGTTGTGTGATCAAAATTTGGACGCTTGGCAGCAGGCATGTATTTATGATGGTTGCCATTTCGTAGGGTGATGTCGCCATTTGTAACTTTCCCATCTCGGTTCTGACAAACTAAGTCAATGGGGAAGCCAGATTCATTTCATAACTGTGTTACTAATTTAACAACGGCAGGGGTTCACTTAACAACT